GTGGTGGTGTGTGACTGCAATCCCAGCTACTCGGGAGGCTGAGGCAGGAGGATCACTTGAACCCAGGGGGTGGAGGTTGCAGTGAGCCAAGATCACACCACTGCACTCCAGCCTGGGTAACAGTGAGACTCCATCTGAAAAATTTAAAAAAAAAAAAAAAATTAGTGTTGTTTTCCAGTACTTTTTTGCTAAGAAACTTGACCCATTTGTTTTCTAAACATATAATGTATATAAAAAGGAATTAGCCCAATTCAAAACTGGGTAAAAGATTTTAATAGGAATCTCCATATAAGATATACAGATGGCCAATAAGCACATGAAAAGATGCTCCTCATCATTAGTCAATAGGGACATGCAAATTCAAACCACAAGGAGGTATCACTTTATACCCATTAGGATGGCTAGTATCATTAAAACAGAACATCACAAGTGTTGGAGAGTATGTGGAAAATACTCTATATACTCTGTTACCTCATATACTGCTGTATACTGGCCACCCTGTTGGATTGCCAGTGATAATGTGAAATGGTTCAGGCACTAGGGGAAAAAACAGTTTGGTGGTTCCTCAAAAAGTTAAACTTAGAATTACTATATGACCCAGCACTTCTGCTCCTGGGTATATACCCAGAAGAATTGAAAACAGGCATTCAAACAGGTACTTCCACACCAGTGTTTATAGCAGCAGTATTTGCACTAGCTAGAAGGTGGAAACATCTCAAGAACTCCAGTGTCCGTTAATGGAAGCATAGATAAATAAGTGTCATATATACATGCAATGGAACATTATTCGGCCATAAAAAGAAATGAAATTCTGATACACGTTAGAAAATGGATGAACCTTAAAATCAACAATGTGAATGTACTATATGCCGCTGAATTTTACACTTAAATATGGTTAAAATGGTAAGTTTTATGTATATTTTACTACAGTTTTTTAAAATAGGGAGATAGTCTATTGTGCTGTCGGTAGACATTTATGATGCCAGGAATTCACAAGTGACTAAGTCAGAATGTTCAGTGTAGTAAATGGAACTGGTGCACATGTCTGCAGCTGTGTGGCCTGGACAGAGAAGTCTGTCCCAGGGGAGAATTTGTTGTCTATTTTGACCTAGATAGAATGGGTTTGAAATATTACCAGGGGCCGGGCACGGTGGCTCAAGCCTGTAATCCCAGTACTTTGGGAGGCCGAGACGGGCGGATCACAAGGTCAGGAGATCGAGACCATCCTGGCTAACACGGTGAAACCCCGTCTCTACTGAAAAATACAAAAAACTAGCCGGGCGAAGTGGCGGGCGCCTGTAGTCCCAGCTACTTCAGAGGCTGAGGCAGGAGAATGGCCTAAACCTGGGAGGCAGAGTTTGCAGTGAGCTGAGATCCAGCCACTGCACTCCAGCCTGGGCGACAGAGCGAGACTCCGTCTCAAAAAATAGATAGATAGATAGATAGATAGATAGATAGATAGATAGATAGATAGATAAGATAAGATAGATAGATAGAAATATTACCAGGGAGTTTTAAACATACAGCTGTGTCCTTGATGATTCTTTGCATTGGGAGTGACCAGGAGGTTTATAATGGCCTAGCCTTGGTCATCTTACCAGGTGTTTTGTTGTTGTTGTCTTGCATTGTGGGGTATAATATTCTAGGAGCATTTAATGAATTTTTGTTTGGTACTCCATGCTTGCTATTAAGACCACATGGTGGGCTGGGCGTGGTGGCTCACGCCTGTAATCCCAGCACTTTGGGAGGCCAAGGCATGCAGATCACCTGAGGTCAGAAGAAGTTCGAGACCAGCCTGGGCAACATGGTTAAACCCGTCTCTACTAAAAATACAAAAATTCGCTGGATGTGGTGGTGCGTGCCTGTAATCCCAGCTACTCAGGAGGCTGAGGCATGAGAATTGCTTGAACCTGGGAGGCAGAGGTTACAGTGAGCTGAGGTCACGCCTCTACACTCCAGCCTGGGCGACAGGGCAAGACTACGTCTCAAAAAAAAAAGACCACATGGTGTTTATGTGATTATAGTTTAAGCCAACTTCAATTTAATGCTTTTTGGGCACCAGACATTATATTGAGAATTTAATTTTCACAACAGTGCTCTGAGATCATTGTCCGAATGTCCTCGCTTTTCAGATAAGGAACTAAATTAGAAAGATTGTGCTGGGCTCAATGGCTCACTACAAAAAATGTAAAAATAAACTGAGCATGGTGGCATGCACCTGTGGTCCCAGCTACATGAAAGGATTATTTGAGTCTGGGAAGTTGAGGCTGCATAAGCTGTGATCACACCACTGCATTCCAGTCGGACTGAATGAGACCCTGTCTCAAAAAAAGAAAGAAAAAGAAAGATTATGTAATTTTCCCAGTTAATAGCTGAGGTGTCTTTTTTTTTCAGACCCTAAACGCTACAGTTTTTTTTCAGAAGTAAAAATATGAAGAAATTGAACAATATAAGATCTTTAGTATTTTTTTGTATCTACAGTTTAAAATTAGATATTGATGCTGCCTTATATTTGAAGTGAGATTAGTGGAATTTCTTTATTGAATATTTTCTAAGGTGAAATGGTTTGGTATGAACCTACAAGTTTTTTTCAACTGTGGGAGGTTCTTGCCTCCTCCACAACAGTTACTTTTTACTGACTACATTTTTTCAGACCTGCCCTGTCCCTCTCACCTAGTAGATGATGCTGTCCTCATACCAGGGAGAGAAGACAGAATGGCACTCCCTTAACTTTCTGTCCTTCACATGCAAACTTGTGTGCATGCTCATCGCTGCTGGCCCTCTTTCCCTGTTGTCCGACATGAGCCCCTCCTGACACGGGATCTCTTGCCTTAAGCTCCCTCTCTCCTCAAACTGACTTCCCCCTACTCCCTGAAAGAACTTTGGGAGAGAGCACTGTTGAGTGTCTGCTATGTACTGATGGGATCTGTGGTCCTGGGTAGCGGTGCCATTACTTGGGTAGGCAAGTCCAAGAGCAAGAAAGGCAAGGATTAGGAATACGTGAGAAAGAGAACCCCTGCCTTGGCAAACTTGCTCTCCATGTTGTTTGGAGTGCTGACATTAAACACGCACTGGGTTCTATACATGTCAGCCTTTACCAGCCCTCCATACTTTATAGAGGCCTGAGACTCAGAGAAGTGGACAGCACTCCTCAGGCCACACAGCTGGAAAGGAGCAGAGCCAGGCAGCAGTGGTTGGCTCCAGGCCCTGCCTCTGGGTGGTTGATAGGACATCACAGCTATGTCGCTACAACCTCCTGAGGGGATGCTTTTGCTCCCTTGACTTGTATTACCATTTCTGTGTTTTAAGAATACAAAATAACATTACCATTTTGTGTTCTAAGTACCTCCAGGTTCTAGAGGTCCCACAGAGACCTCCAGACATGTTCACAACTAACTTCAGCTTCCCCCTCTCCCTAACCCTAGGGACTCTTCCTGGGCTGGCCTGCCCAGGCAGTGATACCACCACCCAATACCCAGATACCAGGGTGTCCTCTCGGCTCCTTGCTCCTACCTGGCCAGCCACCAGCTCCTTCCCTTCCAACTCCAGTTCTCATCCTCTTCTCTGCCAGTATCTTAGTCCAGACTCCCCTCAGTCTCACCCCTACAATTTGTCCTTTATGTGGCCAACCAAGTGCACCTCCTAAAATATAAAGCCTGATGGCTCATCCCCTGAACATGTCGCCATTGTCCTGTGGATAAAGTCCAGATCCTCTAACATGTCTCAGATACTCTGCAGTCTGCCTACTGCTTCTCTCTTTCCCTGTCACCCTCCTACCCAGCCTCTGACCCAGCTGTGCTGAAGCACGTGTGACTGTCTCAGTGGCTGTGCTCCCCAGCCAGCTCACCACATCCCTCCCCAGTTTCACTTTTTCTAGCACCTTCCCTCCCACTCGACTCTGCAATTCTGCCTAGTGTGGGGCGCAGAGGGGGCTGGGGGGCGGGCCTTACCAGTTGTCCTGGCCTCTTTTTTCACATCACAGTGACAGCACAATGCCTGGCACCTGATAAATTCAAGAATTTTTATCAAATGGATGAAACAACATTTGCCTGGACAAAATTGGGTTTGTTTTCCTGTAGTAATGTGATCATACCATAGTTTTATCAATATTATACTAATTTGCAGTGTACTTTGGGGCCTTACAGACTTTCTGAAGCCTTGAGAATTGTGTTTCAATGAACTAATTTTTTCAGTATAAACAGATCTAAACAACTAATTCAGTCATTTTAGGAATAAAAAGTTGAGGCTGCCTGTGTTTTCAAAGTACTTAGGTGTGTCTCCCACTAAAATGTAAGCTCTGTGGGAGCTGTTGTTACTTCCTTACTGCATCCCATGAGCCCAGGTTAGAGCAAGACCTGGCACCCTGTGAGTACTCAGGAAATAAAGGTTACTGACTATGGAAATGTTGCTTACAAGTACAGGAAAGCACAAAAGTTTTTCCTTTGAGTGGTTATAGTGTCAATAAGCCAACTTACTAAAATATATATAAATTTTAAATTGTCAGGCTTAAATGCTTTGCTTTTTCTTAAGAATTCTGTGACTAGAGAATAAGGAGAGGTAATGGCCCACTGTTAAATAGCTGGATTTATTTTCTGATTTATCAGAGATCCAATGCCTAGCGTTTCACTGAGAACAGTGAAAGGTGGAATCACCTGATCAGCATCCGGTCCCTGTGTCTCCTCTAGTGTCATTTCCTTATGTGTTGCTGACATGAGACAATTGGACACAGTCAGCTTTGCCAAGAAAAAGAATGGTGAATTCTGATCCTGCCTCCCAGAGACCCTAAAAATTTGAATTATATTACCAATGCAAACCACCAGCCTGGGGACACTGGATGAACTTGGGCCTTAATCCTTAGTACATCTTCAGTTTTGTCCATTCCTTATTTTTATACTCCATCCATCCTTGATTCTGTACAATCTTTGACTTCTGGAAAAGAAGTTTGGTTATGCTGTTTTATAAGAGACCTCTTTCACTGGGTGGTTTCATTTGTTTTTCAGTCTGCTCCATCTGGACACAAGCATCTGACGGTAGAAGAGTTATTTGGAACCTCTTTGCCAAAGGAACAGCCAGCAGTTGTGGGTCTGGATTCAGAAGAAGTGGAGAGGTTGCCAGGAGATGCCTCCCAGAAAGAGCCCAATTCATTCCTACCATTTCCCTTTGAGCAGTCAGGAGGAGCCCCTCAATCAGAAACCCTGGGTGTCCCTTCTGCTGCCCACCACTCAGTCCAGCCTGAAATCACCACCCCGGTGCTAATCACTCCAGCCTCCATCACACAGTCCAATGAAAAGCATGCCCCAACCTACACAATCCCGTTGAGTCCCGTTCTCAGTCCCACTCTGCCATCTGAAGCTCCTACTACACAGGTTCCCCCCAGCTTACCTCGAAACAGCACCATGATGCAGGCAGTGAAGACCACGCCTAGACAGAGGTCTCCACTCCTGAATCAGCCAGTCCCTGAGCTAAGCCATGCCGGTCTGATTGCCAGCCAGAGCCCCTTCCGGGCCCCATTGAACATGGCGAACACAGCTGGCACATCCCTCCCAAGCGTTGATCTTCTCCAGAAACTCAGGTTGACCCCACAGCATGACCAAATACAGACACAACCACTTGGGAAAGGTGCAATGGTAGCCAGCTTTTCTCCGGCAGCTGGTCAGCTGGCCACACCTGAGAGCTTCATAGAGCCTCCCTCTAAGACAGCAGCAGCGAGAGCGGCAGCCTCAGCCTCCCTGAGCAACATGGTGCTTGCTCCCCTTCAGGTAATGGCAGGAGGGTGGGGGTGGGCATGGTGGGTAACTATAACTGAATGGGATGAAACTACAGACCTTGGTTTTAACTGTCATGACACTGACAGTTTTGAAGAATTGTCCCTTTAAAGTATGTCGGGCTAGGAGACAGCTGAGGTAAGAAGCCCTATCATGAACAACCAAGTAATTTATTTTCCTATCTGGATATGCACTTTAGCAGAGGTTGTATGTTTGTTTTGCTTTTGCCCAGCATTTCCAGGAGTCCTCATTTGACTCAGGACCAAATTATTGCAAAGCTTAACTCCCTTCCTATCTCCCACAGCACTCTCCTAGAGTGCCTACCTTGTGCCAAGTACCCTAGAGGTGCCATAAGAGCATCCTAGACTTGAAGGTATGAGGTCAAATAAAGCTGATTTTTTTCAACTGTCCACATTTACATCACCTTATCAAGAGGTGCCATGCTGCCTAGATCTCTCATCTCTATCTCTACAGACTCAACAGCAAAAATATGCCCAGGCTGCAGGACAGACATCACATGTTCTCACTTTATTTGAACTCATGGAGATAGAGAATAGAAGGATGGTTACCAGAGGCTAGGAAGGTAGGGGGAGGTGGGGATGGTGAATGCATAAAAAAAAAAATAGAATGAATAAGACCTAGTATTTAATAACACAACAGGGTGATTATAGTCAATAATAATCTAAGTATATATTTTAAAATAATGAAAAGAGTATAATTAGATTGTAACACAAAGGAAAAATTTGTGAGGGGATGGATACCCCATTTTCCATGATGTGATTATTATGTATCGCATGCCTATATTAAAACATTTCATATACCTCATAAATATGTACACCTATGTATCCACAAAAATTAAAAATTGTGTCTATTCCTGGGCTGTCCCTGGCTCTTAGAAGGGATACAGGTCTCAGCTTTTCTTTAAAGATACCTGAAAGGCTCTGCACACACCCCTTCCCTCCGGAACTAAAGAGGAGAGGCTGTCGCAGAGCTCTCATGCAGTTGAATTGTTGGCTGCATAGTTGCAAGTTTCTGTCAGACTCTTCCCTTGGGAATCTAGGAACTAGTTAATATCTGAACCATTTTCTATTACTAACCTAGATTTTCCACTGGGAAAGTCTTCTTCAATTAAGACTAGGAAGTCTTCTTAATTGAAACTTCTTATATCCATCTATCTTTTCTTCATAAACATTTCAGTCTATGCAGCAGAACCAGGATCCTGAAGTATTTGTCCAGCCTAAGGTGTTATCCAGTGCCATCCCGGTAAGGACTTGCTTTTTCTTTCTTTTTTTTCTTTTTTTTTTAAGACTAGTCTGGTGCTATAGTGAGAAGGTAGAAAGAGTAGAACAAGGAATTTGATCTGTAACTGACTGTGAACGATCAGTTGAGCTAACTCACTACCTTTGGACCAGCCAGGACTCCCTCTTTCTAAAGGATACATTATGTATTTTTAAGTTCTTCTGCTGGATGTGAAGTAAAAGGTTGTCAGCTTAGTGAAAAGAGTTAGCTATGGAGCCCAGCCCATCTTAGATGCCTTTCCTAGGCCAGGCACCTCCCACCCCCATCCTGGCAGAGTCCATTACTGTGGCCTCTGTGGATCTTGAGGCATCTGCATGGATATCTTCCCTGACTGTGTGTGTAGAGGGCATGGTGGGCCCTTACTCAGTATTTGTGAACGGGTGACTGCTAAGAGTGTGGTAACCTGGCTTATAAGTAGGAAATATTGCCTTGGAGGAGCTGTGATGTCCCAGGTGGCAGAGCCACTATCCTGCTACAGTCCTCTCATTTCCCATTGCTCTGAGAACAAAGCCTCCCAGGCCTGTGTGTTCTGTCCCATTTGTACTCCCTTGCTTCGTTTTCTGTTGTCCCTACTCTACATCACCCACTAACCTTGCAATGCACACAGGTTTTTTTAGCTCCCTAAAGTCATTTCTGTTTTCCTTTGAGCCTTTGTGCCCTCCTTGAGTCTTGGAGTTTAAATGGGAACCAGCTTCTGACTGGTGTTATATCTTGGAGTTTAAATGGGAGCCAGCTCCTGACTGTTCTTGGAAACAAGCCTCTTTTCTGTGTGTCTTGCCCTTCTGCATGGTGATCTATCTGCAGGAGCTCTCGGCCTGCTTTTGCACCAAAAATAAAGAAAGGGTAAATAGCTCAGATGCCAAAAACCATACCCTTGAAACTGGCCAGCTCTGTGCTCTTTGTAAATGAGAAAGTGACATGTAAGAGAAAGAAATGTAGATCTCTGTTGATTGTATCAGATCTGAGGATACTGAAAATACTGATGATTACTTGGTTTTTTTTGGTTTTTTTTTTGTTTTTGAGACGGAGTCTCGCTCTGTCTCCCAGGCTGGAGTGCAGTGGCTGGATCTCAGCTCACTGCAAGCTCCGCCTCCCGGGTTTACGCCATTCTCCTGCCTCAGCCTCCCGAGTAGCTGGGACTACAGGCGCCCGCCACCTCGCCCAGCTAGTTTTTTTTGTATTTTTTAGTAGAGACGGGGTTTCACCGTGTTAGCCAGGATGGTCTCCATCTCCTAACCTCGTGATCCGCCTGTCTCGGCCTCCCAAAGTGCTGGGATTACAGGCTTGAGCCACCGCGCCCAGCGATTACTGGTTTAATATATTCAGATAATTAGCTGGAATTAGCCTAGAAGCACATCTAAATGGAGGAGAGAGGTAGATGTTAGCTTTATTTTTAAGAAATTTTCTCATTGCTTTCTATAATGGTATAAAAAAATAGATTGAACATAACTGGATTTGGATTTTTTGTTTTTGTTTTTGGTTGGTTTTTTTGTTTTTTTTTTTTTTTGGAAATGGAGTCTTGCTTTGCCGCCCAGAGTGCAGCTCACTGCAACCTCCACCTTCTGGGTTCAAACCATTCTTCTGCTTCAGCGTCCCAAGTAGCTGGGATTACAGGCGCCCATCACCACACTCTACTATGTTTTTGTCTTTTTAGTAGAGACGGGGTTTCACCATGTTGGCCAGGCTGGTCTTGAACTCCTGACCTCAAGTGATCCTCCCACATAGGCCTCCCAAAGTGCTAGGATTACAGGCATGAGCCACCGCTCCCAGTCATAACTGGATTTTTAAATTCTTTTTTATTGCAGTGTGATTTACATACACTGAAATGCAGATTTTTAGAGTCCAGGCATGGTGGTTCACACCTGTAATCCCAGCACTTTGGGAGGCCTAGGTGGAAGGATCACTTAAGCCCAGGAGTTCAAGACCAGCCTGGACAACATAGTGAGACCTCATCTCTTACAAAAAAATCAAAAATGAGGGGAGGATTGCTTGAGCCCAGGAAGTTGAAGCTGCAGTGAGTGGTGACTGCACCACTGCACTCCCACCTGGGTGACAGAGTGAGACGCTGCCTTAAAAAAAAAAAAAAAAAAA